CTTCTATAAGTCGAAAGGAGACTGCGACCATACCCGAGGCCACAACATCTTGGTCTTCACATCTTCATACGACTAAAGTTGTATTCTACCGTTTCATTTTATATAGCCTCTAGCATCAATAATCATTGTAATGATACTTCCATGCTCCATATTTGCATGTATCGCGTCATTTTAGTTCATAATATTCTTATCATTATTCATAATTTTTATTAGTTTGCTATGCTATATTTTTGAATCTTATGCTCAGTAACCGGCCAACTCTCATCTATTCTGTTAGTTTTTAGTCAAAATTTGAATTATATGAAGCCTTATATAAAATGCGAATATAGCTTTTTGACCACTTTATTCTATATATTTTATTTTTATAGCTGCGTACGTATTTAGGCTCGTTCAGTGTGCCCCTGGGAATTTTTTTTGTCGTCGCTATGGACCTTATATTTTTTCAGCGATTCAATCTGGATAAACTAGATGTCCCGCCTTCAGATCAGGTCAATGTTAGCCTTTGGATAAATCCACCAAACTTCTCCAAGTTGACTGACTATGGCAGTGGCTCGGCTGGGCTTGTGCACGGCCTATCGTTCGCAATCAGCATTGCGTTAACGTTGATAATTTTCACGGAGGTTTCATTAAACGGGTAAGTCCGTTCAAACTAATAACAAAATCGGCCTCATTCCAATTAGACCTTAAACATTATTGTTTTGCTTACTTACATTTCGAGTGAAAGTATTTGGTTAAGACATTCTCGTTTTGCTGACTATGGCATGTCTGCGGCTAAGCGAAAAATTAGAGAAGTCATCTAAATAAACCGAATAGGAAATACATTGAATGTAAGAAACACAGGCAAGAAGGTAAGGTTGTGCTTACCTAATCTACTTTAGGATAGAGAGGGTGTTGTTCTGCCTGCAAAAAGGAGGCGACTCAACTAATCTTTTCTTATATTGGTTCTTATAAAAGTCACTTATCTATACTTTTAGCTCACTCTTTCTCTCTCACATGAAGACAAAAAAAGCTCATTAATATAACCAAACGTGTGTCCGACATTGCCCAATCGGAGTGATGGTTATAACATATATGTAGAAAGGGCGAGATAGTGGTCACTAAACCTTGATAGCCGAGAGCAGACGTTACTCTTGCTATTTTAGCTACTTTGAGCCATCACTGCTGGTTTCGTGCATTGGCGAACACATACAGGCACATAAAAATACAGAGACAGACACACTCACATGCTTCGAGGTTGACATATCACTGGAACTAAACAAATCACTTTATACCTCATCAAAGATGTCAGACATAGAGTATATATACAGCTTTTTAAGGATGTGCCGGTGAGTTTTCTTGATTTGTTAGTTTGAATTTGGTTGTAAATATGATACTTTGCTCTGATGATGTTCGTCATATGACAGACAAAAGCATAGCACGTTTAAGCCGGAATCGAAGAAGATTACCTCAGAAACAACATCAGCATGAATGTTCTAGTAAAGCCAATCAACAGCGGGTCAAGAGAAATCCGTCGTCGTCTTCTGTTGGAATCGACCTTCGAATCTCTTCACCAAATTATTTCACTCTAAATGAAAGTAAGCTCAAAAACTGTGAAACAAAAGATTACTCGAAACCCAACTTTTCTTCGCATATCTTAAACATCATAACTAACTCTCATATTCTTATTGTCTTTATAGCTGATAAAATGGTATTTCGTTCATTGTCATTCACTAAGGCTTATTATGGAAGATATTTTTTATATGAGATATACTCATCATATTTCTTTGAAATAATATCTTTTTGTTGGTTACTTCGTTGTCTTGGCCTGGTTTTATCGAAAGGACTTGGCCGTGATCCTCTTATGTGTATATTTTTATAAATTTGTGTTGATTTTGTTAATGATTTTTCGCTACGATTTATAATTTTAATAGTTTTCTATTTTTGAAAATTATTGCTGTTTCTTAACTCGCTGATTACACTTTAGGCTGTGAACTTATTTATATCTCATTTTTCTCTAATTTCCTCTCGGCTGGACTTCATTCGATTGAAATGCCCGCTTATCAGCCACTAATTCA